GAAGTCTCAAAATCATAGCCATTGTTTCCTCAGCTGCAGTGGCAGAAGCTGCCCTTTCCTTCTCAAGTTCAGCATAAGCTACAGTTGCTCTCTTCCTCAATCTTTACCAGTTTCTTCAATTCTGTAATATCAAATTCAACTTTATCACTATACTCTTTTTCATCAGCATTACATTCTTCATCATAATCTGTAATTACTTCTTCATCATCAACAGTAAACATATTCAAATTTTCTGTATTTTCCTCCATTTTATAGACTATGGGCGCATTAGTATTTCTTGACCCACATTTGCAATTTGAACTGAAATTCTCATCAAAATCACTTTTGAACAAAACCCATCTAATTTTCCTCTAAAATCACCAAGAAAACGGACCAAACCGGTAAAAAAGTAAAACCAATCAAATTGAAAGAGCTTTAACCCAAAACCCAACAAAAAGAACAGCCCCAAAAATTCAAAGACTTGCTTCAATGTCCCAAACACCAAAACCCTAAACACAAAATCATTCAATTGCTTCAAACATGTGATAAAATCCATCAAAATGCACCCCCTAAACAGGCACTCCGGAAAATTCTTATGAAACTCAAGAACACAGCATATAATGAGGAACAGATACAGACGACCCAGAATCTGCTTGTGGTTACTTTGAGTCCAGATTCTTCAATACCAGTGTTCTAATAATTCAGGCACAACCATATACACAAAACACAAAAAGGGATTCACCCATTCACCCACCCAAATGGAAAAAAGAGTAAAAAAATTAAGAGGAAATTTCACATAATGTCCATTTTCACCTAGTCATTTGTAAAAATGGCCACAATTTTGTCAATGTCCATTTTCCAATTATGCAAAATGAAAATACCCCTGTTAGCAAATTCTATTTCCACATAAGAATTCAAAATTTTTCATATCATTATAAAAAGTCAATCAACATACAAATGTCAATCAACATTAAATGCCTGGGTCGGGTAGGTGCGGGTCGGATTGGGTCGGGTTATGGGTCAAAAATGGAAACCTGATAGAACCTGACCCGAATATATAAAAAAAAGGGGTGGGGGAATGAAAAAATAAAAGAAGCACTAAACTAAGTCCTCTCAACTCTCACACTCTCGGTCTCTCAATCTTTACTCCGACCCAACCCGTCGACAACGAGCCCGTCCATTTCTTTCGTCGTTTCCCAGTTGTCGTTTGCCGACCACACTCTCAATCTTCACAAAATTCTTCACTCCGACCCAACTTGCCGACAACGAGCCCATTCGTTTCTCTTTTCGTTTCCCAGTTGCCGTTTGCCAACCACACTCCGGAGTCCAGTGCTATAGAGTAAGTTTATTTCCTTATTTTCTCACTTCCCCAAGTCTTCCCTCTTCCTAAATCCTAAGACTTGTATTATTACATAAATTGATGTCAAGATCACCGAGTGTCTCGATTATATTGGACGAGCAAATACCAACTATTGATACAATTTGAGATAAAAAATTGTACATGTAAGTTACTGTCGAAAAGTTTGAAGAGGTAAAGTCTTGTATTTATCGCAACGTGTTTAAAGAAATCAGGAAAATGATTGTACTTTCTGCTGTTCGTGTTATTGTATCTTTTGCTTTGAGATATAATCTATATTTCAACTAAATTTGATACTGCTAGATGATAAATAATACTAGTACAAAGTGAAGAATACTCCATTTGAGACATATTTCGCATCTAAGTTAGGCAATAAACATGATGAAATGACACAGGTTGTGTTGCTATTATACACTCTTGAACTGTTTGAATGCTCATCAGCAACTAAATGGCTTCATTTTCGCATGAAATTTGTTCTGCGTCTTCTTGAGGGTTGTATTTTTATATTGATAGTTTCTTATAAAGGAAGACTGTGATAGGTTGATAGCAGATAAAAGACTTTGTCAAATCTTATGACATGTATACTTGTACACATTTCATTGAGGCATAACCGACCAACAATGCTGTCAATCAGATTCTGCGTATGGTCTGTTATAGCTGGCTCTAAATTTATTTAAAACAAGCCTATGTTGTTATTTATTTTGCTAAAAAATATTGCATTTTAGGTTTATTTGTATATCTAAATTAGGCAATTAACTTAATAAAATGGTACAAGATTTTGTTTATATTCTTGAACTGTTTGAATGGTGATCAACTATAAAATGGTTAACTAATAGCTTCAGATCAGAAGCCATATTTAGGATGTCAAACAACCTACAGGAATTTGTAAAAACCTTATTTCATCTTATTTCATTTCAGACTCCTAAATGAATCAGCGTCAAGATACGTATAAAATCCATTTGTAAAGACCCTATTTCATCTTATTTCATTTCAAACTCCTAAATGAATCAGCATCAAGATATGTATAAGATCCATTTGTAAAAACCCTATTTCATATCTCATATCATTAAGTTACATGATTAAGCCACGGGAAAAAATCGCACTTTGTAAATAAATTCAATAAAATAAAGAAATCTCATTTACATATATATTGAATAATTTTTAATATTATTTAATCAATTTTTTATAAATGACCGGGCTATTATGGTTGTTCATTGTTGACGGTCAACCTCCGCCCTAACTAGACTTTGGTGCTGGATTCGCCACTGAGCACGGTAAGGTTTTAGAATTACCCATTCTCTATTTTTGCTTCAATAACATGAACTATTTTAAAATGTTTTGATATTAACCGAGGTTTGTTTTAATTTTAACAATTAAACAGCTTAGTTTAGATATAGTATTTTATCAAACCATTGTATTGTAAAAATCATTTTTCTTTTACTGCATTATAAACAAGAATACTATATTTGATTTCGTTTGTACGTTCTCATACTACTTGTTAAAGTATTATTTTCATTTGTTGATGAGTATGACACACCGATATAAAATTCCAGAGAAGGAACGTGTTTCGACTCGTGTGTCGTAGGTGAGCAACACAAAATACATATCAATTGTCCTTAACAAATTGGATTCACAACAAAAGCGTCAGTTGGAGGAGAGTTGTATAGGACATGTTGCAAGGTTATCGGAGCTGAAACTATCTGCTCAATTAATTCATGAAATGGTAAAACAGATCGGTGGTTTGCTGAAAGCGATTTGAGGCTTGGTTCAAGGTGAACCAAAGGTTTGCACGATTTGGATTGCCGGAGTTCGCACTAATTACTGGCTTGAAGTGCGGTCCAGTGCCTAAAGATGCCGAAGTTGACAAAATCCTAAAGAAAACCCGTCTATAGGATAAAATGTTTGCTAATATAGACCGGATAACGTGTAGCGACATGGAGAAAGTTTTTTTGAAATGTGCCAACCGTAACGATCGTTACAAGCTTGTGTTGGCACTAATTATTGAAGGGGTATTTAATTCAAGAGATCGAAATGTAGGAATACATCCGACAACTCTTTCCATCGTTGACGACTTGGATTTCTTCAATGCCTATCCATGGGGGACGGTATGTTTTCAACTTCTCATCAAATCACTGCTACGTAGATGGGGAAGAAAGGCGGACATGGCAAAAGTGAACGATTGTGATATGATGACTTACACGTTGTACGGATTCCCTCTTGCCGTCCAGGTATACATCTATTTTGGTTCATTTCAGTTCTTTTCATCGCACATTGTTATTTACCTCCAAATATGGTTATTACAGTTATAAATGTCATGCAAATTTGAGTGTACGAGGCAATCTCGGAGTTGGGAGCTCGATTCTCGAGTAGGACTTGTGACGATGTCCCGAGGACGTTGCGGTGGTCTAGCACGAAACAACCTCATTCCCGAACATATTCAGATTTTTTTAGAAGGCAGATGTAAGCGATTTACATACGTAATTGCCCTATACTTTCAAAATATATAATATTTCATTTCGCCTATTTTTCCTTCCCCTGTAGGTGCACTTGTGGGCAACGCTGCGCGCAACTGCTGCAAAAGAATTGCAGCCGTACTTAGCCGATCTAGTTAAGTTGGAAGACGCAGCTGACCCCGTTCTAGGTGGTCTTGTTGCTCAATTAATAGAAATACAAGCTTGTCCAGCTGGAGATGATGTTATACTGAACGATGACAACAACCATCGACCAAATAAATCCCAGAGAGGCAACAGAGGTGGACCTTATCATCGAGATTTGCATCACGTTGAAGTAGAGAAGAAGAACATCGGGATTCGATCATTGAAATGTCTGTGTCTTTAGATGAGATAAGAGCTATCTTGAACAACAACGGGAGGCATTTGAGAGCAAGATGGGTGATTTGAGGGAAGAGATGAACACAAGATTCGCTAGTCTCCAAAATGATCTGGGAGGTCATGTGTGTGGTTTGAGAAATCATGTCACTGATGAGATCAATATGTTTCGACGAAGGTTTGATGAAGTTGCTACAGAAATTGGGCAACGTAATGTTGCTGCTGAGTATGGTGGATTTGGTCATGACGATCACGGTAGTGACGAGCCCCAACATGATGTTTTAACTTCCAATATTTCTGCGGATAGACAGGATGTCGGAGAGGCAACCGAACCAGTTGTTTGCAATATCCCTGATGTGTCCATAACGTCGGAAGGTGGGGTTGGAGTACTTGGGTCAGTATACGTTGCTCGTGATATTGTGAAAGAGGCACCAACCATTGTACCTTCACTTGGTGTAATCGTTGATGATTAGCTGGTTCATGATAGCATCGTTTTTGGACCTTCGATGGCAGCTGATCCACCTACACGTAGACCTCGATTGTTGAGGCTGAAGAAAGCGAGTGCGAACACAAAGACGCCATATACCCAATCTGGTCGCAAGAGGGATAAGAGGGATGCGTAGTCCGTGTATTTTGGTTGACGACACATAATGGTGATTGGATATGAACTTCAGGTTGATTCAAATTTAGAGGTTCACATATTTTGGTTTATATGGTGGTTTTTCAATGTGTATTTTGGTTTATGTCGTGAGTGTATTTTGGTTTACATAGTGGTTTGCATATTTTTGTTTATATGATGGTATGTAATATTTTGTAGATGTAAACTTGTGGTTTATAAGTTAGTGACATGTTCGGAAAGTTGTATGTTGAAAATAGTTTATAACTGTATTATCTACTATAGTGGACTAGAACATAATGTTCTAATGAAATGTGGAGAAATACTATACTTTAGTTGAAATGTTGTTCTATACAAATGTAATGTCAAGTGTCCAGATTAGCAGACATTTAATATCGAGAACTACACGTCAAATGTCAAGAAATGAGTGAAATGTCAAGAAATATATTGTTTCAATATAAATGTTCCCTTATATTTTTGTTTCAATAATATGTGAACATATGTGTGATTGTGTGTGATTATGTATGTGAAAATAAAATAAACTTCATATTAAAAAAATATAAATTATGTATTTTGAAGCTCTTACTTATGATAACAAAAGAAAAATCCCGTCTTTCGTTATCCTACTCGAACATAAAAAAAGGAGATGTAAGGAAAAATTAATTAACTCAGTAAACTTTAATAAATTAAATAAAGTTATCAAACTTTTTTTTTTCAATATAAAATTTGAATTGAACAAAAAGTTAATTTTTTTAATATAAAATTTAAATGGAAAAAAAAGAATTTAAAAGAATTTTCAATCAAACAAAAAGTTATTTAAAATAAGAAGGAAAAATTGGTGATATAATAATTTTCAAAAATCATTTCATAAATTAAAAAAAAAGTTACAATATTCAATATTCAATTAAATAAATTTATAATTTGTCAAAAAATTTCAATTATTGCAGTACAAGAAGTCACAATATTGATGCGTAAAGAAACCATTGATATATATCCATAATGTGTGAAAAATATTCAATTATCACAACACAACAAGCGAATATATTCAGTATATACAGAATCTATCAACAACTTTCAATTATCATAACACAACAAAATTGTTCTGACATTTACTCACATGCACACTTTTAGCTACTTCTTCTCATTCACTCATTATCCCCACATTCACTCCCCCATCCACACATTTAACTAGAATTAATTGTCACATTCACTCAATTTCATTCACTCACTCTCCACGCGTTTTAGTTAAAAGTCTCATTCTCACATTCACTCTGAAAGACATTTATTCGGAAAGATTTTTCCACATTCACTAAAAAAAGGCGCTCATTTGATTGGAAAAGGCAAGTAATTCAAAATTTGTGTTCAAAATTTGTGCTACTTAGCAGTTAGTTGAATATCATCGAAAAAATATATTTTTCTGGTACGAAAATACAATTTAGTCAAAAAATCATCTCCATTAATCACGAGACAGTTGTCTCCGTGACGCTCGTCTCCGTGTCATGGAGATCGCCTCTCCATGACATGGGTCTCCGTGACACACAGAGATGCTCTCTGTATGTTACAGAGACGCTTGTCTCCGTGACACACATAAGTACTAAACAATTTTTTTTAAACCCACCCCTATTATTAGTATGTTTTACGATATATATAAACAAAAATATTAGATTTGTTTGAAATATTAATTTTTGAACATTTTACATTTGATTTTAATTTTTTTTAGTTTTAATTTTTTTTAGTATACAAGAAGTGAAAAAAAATTATATTAGTTTAGAAATATTAATTCTTAAATAATTTTACACTTAACAGTACTTTGTTTTAGTATATTAGATGTGTAAAATCAAATGAAAATATTAATTCTTAAATAACTGGACACTTACTTATAGTATGTTTAGTAGCTTTCCTCAAAAAATAATTAGATTTATTAAAAAATATTAATTCTTGTATAATTCATGCAAATGTCTTTAGAATACGTTCTCTTTCCAGAACAATGGTTTTCTGCTACCATCGTTCAGTATCCAAATCGAGAATACGTTAAAGATTTTGTAGAATTCATAGATGCAAATCAATAATATTCTTTGATGTGTAGTAATTTTTATGGATTTATTTATGGAGTTGTTTTCAAAGGAGAAGAAGAACAATTTACTAGTAAGTTGGTATACGAATTTATAATGAGACTTGTACATTGTGGCAAAAATAATGAACTTTGGGTACGGTTAGATAACCATCTTGCTAGGTTCGGCATGTAAGAATTTTGCCTCATTATTGGACTACCTTGCCATGAACCATCCATAGAAATTGCTTATAATAACGATCGTTTTAGAAATCAATACTTCAAAATTAGCAATATAATGCTTTTTGAAGCTTTCCACATGTGTGAAGATGAAGAAGATCAATTTAAGCAGGGATTAGTTATGTTGGTTGAGCGTGTGTTGATAAATTTAGATAATGTAGTACAACCAATACCGGATAACATCCGTGTGCAAGAAACGACCAGTCGTGGTACATCGAGAACTTCAACTGGAGTTGAGCCTAGTTCTGCTTTTGGTGCCTCCAGATATGTAACTGAAGACCGAATGGAAGAAATGTTGGGTATGTACAGGCAGCATACGATATCAGATGTGTCCAGTTTATGTGGCAACTTGAAGGCAGAATTTGTTGAAGAATCAAGAGCCATAAACCATGCTATCCTTGAAAGCCAAAAGCAACTGTTCGAACAACATAACAAATCGTTGCAAGATTACATGCAATGTGGTATGCAGTCATACATGGATAATTCTCTATCAAATATGTTTAACACTCATATTGCCCAGGAATCGCAACAACAAGAAGCCCATTATCAGGTGATTCTCCAAAAGCAAGAAGAATTATTCCAACATCAATAAGAGCACATGCAGTCTTATGTTAATACAAGTTTATGTTCTGTCAGATCTTACATTGATGAAAAGAATGAGAATATGCTAAACAGATTATTTAACTGGGAATCCAACATAGAAGTCATTATAGGTTCCATGCAGTAAAATGTTCCTCCCCATGCAAGTTCAAATCCTACTGATCAACCGCATAAGACATCAACGTCTCAACCAACAGAAAGTGTTGACATGTGGAGAAGAGAAAGCGAAAGAAGATGAAATACACACAGTCTTTGTCATCCACTGGCCGTCTCTTAGAAGACTACGACATGAAAAAGTATAAAAACATTAGAAATTGGATATCGAGAAATCAATCTAGGTAACAAATTTAACTCATTCTGAATAGTCCGAATCCTAAACATTATAATATCAATGTAAGAAATTCTCTGTTGATTTATTCGACAGTAATTTAAATTATATTGTACAGTGCATATTTGGACAATGGTCGTGGCAATGTCTATGGAAGAGACATGCTAAGAACTTTAATGGATACGACGAAGAATCTGAATATTGCGGTGAGTGAAGGTTAGCAATCACAATTAATTTGATTTCATAGTTAATATGTCTAATATATGTTACATGTATTTATTTTATTAGCATATTGAGTTGGAGCTGAAGTTATTGAGGCAGCGTATGAATGAAGGTTGTATTCTTGTCAATAAATAATATGCAATTTTAGACTTTCAATTTGAAGATGAGTGTTCTCAGCAAATGAGGTGGCAAATGGAATTTCGAATGGAAAACCAGAGAGGTCAACCGGATGGAACTCGCCTAGAAGACTACATCAACGGTAGATTTCCTGTAGCTGGTCATCCGTGGATGGGATGCAAATATTTATTAGCTCATATCCAGGCAATGAATGTTATCTTTTTCTAGTCAATATTCTTGAATGGAAATTCCATATATACGACTGCAGCAATAATGTTCACACACCAGATGCAATCAAGGCACACGCAGAAGCCACATGCACACTCGTTCAAGGATTATTACAGTGTCCACCCTTGTCTACCAGACGAGATATAAATAAATATAGAAATGAACGAACGAAGCTGGATATTATACCTTATCTACCATGTGCGAACAATGGGTGAGCATTTCAACTCTTGTTATTTACTACCATAGTTAATTTATTGTATATACTAATTTCGACTAACGAAAAATGATTTCTTGTACATGCCAAATTGCATAATGTTTGTACTCAAATATATATAATGCTTCGTTCTAGGATATCCAATAGAATTAGTTTTAGCAGAGAGGATGTTATTATACAGATGAAAGATTGCGGTTGATCTTTGTCATAACGAATACTTTTCTTCATCCCCGATAGTGAAAAAGTTGTAGTGGCTTAGCTGTACTTTGCTTGTGTGACTGTTGATAATCAGCCGGTTCATGATAGCGTCGTTTGCAATATGTATTTTGCTTTATGTGGTGGTACATAACATATATTTTGGTTTATGTGGTGGTATGTAATATGTATTTTGGCTTATACGGTGGTTTGCATATTTCGGTTTATATGGTGGTATGTAATATGTTCTCGAACTGTCATTCTAAACAAATGAAATATCAAGCGTCGAGATTCACAGTTATATAATGTCGAGAACGACATATCAAACGTCGAGAAATCGTTGAAATGTAGAGAAATCTCCTCTTTTGGTCCAAGTGTCATTCTAGACAACTGTAATGTAAAGTATCGAGATTAACAGCTATTTAATGTCGATGACGACATTCCAAATGTCGAGAACGGCATCAAATGTCAAGATAAATATGATCCAACCAATTTTAATGAAGAGTGAAGGCAACCAATTGGAGTATTAACTGCAAAAACTGTAGCAAGCATGTTTATAATTACTATAGCAATTAAAATTGGTATGTCAAGCACAAGTACATTCTCAACCATATTAATGTAAAAAAAAGTTATAGAATAATCACAATGAATGACTTCAACCATATTGGTTGGTGAGATATCTTTTCATGCATTCAACAAACAAGCGTTTCTCCATTATAAAAGGCTGGACTTTACTTGAATATGCACAGACGAAAATTTAACAAATTCATAGTACTAGTTAGTTTTTCCATTGATTATGTCATCATCAACTCAACATACTCATTTTATTGATGTTACTATCACTTTCGACCTCCCCGGGTCATCCGCGGACAACCCGATCATCATAGACTCGGACTTGGATGATGAAAGAATGCCTTTGTTCCATATGTTTGTCAACCTTCGAACCGCCATCGTAGAGTTTGCCTTC